AAAAAGTAAAAATGTTTGTTCAGCTAGCTAGCGCCAGTGTTCGTAAAAAACTACCGTTTAAATTTGCTGACATACCATGTTGAAGAAGGAATGCTGATGACTTCTTAGCACCTCGTTCCATAGCATGAGCTACAGGTGTCATTTTATCATCGTCCAAACTTTTCGGGTTCCCTGAATGTTCAATCTAATGCAGTTATAAAAACAGAATAGGATTCAACAAATTTACCTCAGTGTCCAAGAATAAGCGATCTACTTTGAAAATTAAACTTAGTCCTTAATGTTACTGTGCCGTGTAAGGTTGGTTTTTATTGGCAACGAAGGCGGAATCAAATCAAAGTTACATGCGCAGAGCCTCATGATCTAGTAAAAAAAAGATCCAAAGTAAGGATTCCACTTATGACTCCCTAGCTTGCGATCTAGTGAAAACCAGATTGTTGGAATACGTCGCAAGCAGAAGCAGAAGAGTTAACAACACAACAGTGAGCTATAAGGAGCACCTACCAGTATTTCACAAATGTTTTCATTGTCCATCTCGGCAGCAAGGTGAAGTGGCGTACACGAGTTACGACCCAGAGCATTCGCATCTGCCCGCCCTTGCTCTAGTAAGGTCTGCAAAAATACAATCACGTGATTACAATACGGTGGCCTGAATGGAAGGTTTTTTGGAAGGGAGATTAATCTAAGATGCGTGTGTACATAAAGGGCGCGCGAGGGAGGGTGAAGGAGGGAAACCAAATTCCCAAAGTGCAATTCTTTGAACAGAAATATGCGGTTTAGTCCTGATACTCTCTAAAAAGAAAAAAGGATGATAAGAGATTCTTAAACTGCATAGTAAGTGGATTTGAGGGTAACAGCAAGGCCGGTGGTTTGAACTAAATTTGGTCTTTGTATCAGGGTTCGTAGTTGCTATTTATTGTCTCCTTCCAGATAGAACTAAATGCCTGAACTACATCTGCATTCATTCACTGACCAAAGAGATCTGGCCCTGACAACAATTAAAAGCAGACTGACCTCGTTCCCAGGGTTCGCTCTCTTTCTCGAGGAAGGAGGAGGTAAACAGCGCACAAAGATCACGTGATTGATAAAGGACATTGGAATTTCATCTTTTCTCAGTGTTTATCTCGAATTTTGAGTTTTAAACCTGTATTCTTTCTATTATTTCTCTATTTATTTCTTATTACACAGGGCATGAATAATTAACGGAGTTATACCGCAAGTACTCACCAAAACCAGTTTCTCACTGCCAACATGAATTGCCGTATGCAAAGCAGTGTCGCCAGCTTCATCAGTTATAGTGACGTCAGCACCGCTCTCAAGTAACCTATCAACAATTCTGAACTGTTTTGAAAGAATGGCTGTATGAAGAGGTGTTTTGCCTGACTTGTCCTTGTTGTTAACATCTGTCATTGATAATATACGTGGTAGAGAAAACATAAGAACAAGGTGCTTCGAACACTGAAGAGATTAAGTCTCTGTGTACTTAAAATTTTAGTCTCTTTTTTTGCCCTTTAAACCCTAAGATCAAAACTTGAATTCTTATTTGTAGACCCTATTCATTTCCTACAGAAGTAGTGGGGAGAAGTTAATAAAATTCATCTTTTGTGATCATGTCCGTAATTCTCATGACCACTCTGTTTTACAAAGCACTGATATTACAAGGAGAAATTTGATACTGATCACTCTTAGGGCTTAAAGGGTTAAACTATGAGAAGAGACGGCAGCATGGACTTTGTCCCTTCAAAAAGTCTTTGAAAGGGAAACCACAATTTAATTCAGTTTAATTTGGCAAAGCCGTTGTTTGTATGTTGCAGGTACAGGCAGGGAAGTTTTCAAAGGGAATAGATCATTTCCGAGTGCCAAAAACTCTCACCTTCTGAACGAGGCTAAGTGCAAAACCTTTCTTGTGAAAATGAGTTTTATTTGCTTGAGAAAATTAAGGAAATCGTTTTCATAGTAATGGCCACCTCGCACTCAGCATAAACCTTGCCTTGAAACAGAGGCTTTGGGCGACTCGGAAATGGCCTCGGCCTATTCTTTTAGTTATGGCTAAATCCTCCTATTCGTCAACGCAATAGTGTTCACTGCTGAAACTTTCGATCTAGTATCGCTTTAGCAGGGCGTAAAGCAGATACCTACATCATATCGATCAATGTGTTCAATTAATTTGCTTTTGTTTGTATGTAGTCTTGTTCCCAGCTATTTTTCCTTCTTGTCTCGTGAATGTTTAGAGACCTGGCTGGGTACTAAGCTGTAGGAAAAGTGAGAGAAACATTGCTTACTTGTGCCCTTATTTAAAAGCTTTTCAACTTCTTCTACTTCCCCGTTCAGAATCAGCTGGTGAAGAATTGTTGACTTCTGACCAGTGAATCCTTCCTTTAAAAATAAGAGAACAATCTCATCTGTTGTTTCTAATGTTTTTTTTTTTTGGTAAATTCCTAAATTTCTTTCATCCTAAAACGAGCAAAAAACCTTCAGCAGGTCAGAACTTATTCAAAAATGAATGATAAATAAGAATTTTTTTAAGCGCGAAAAACACCAAACCAGTTAATAAACTGTTACTGTTCCAAAAATGGCGGATGGCGAAATGAGGCACAAACAATTAAATTCTTACATCTTCATCTACATCTACATGTAGTAGTCAGCAGAAACTATGAACAGTTATCACGCTAAGAAGTTTGCAATTCCGTAAAAATTATCAATGCTCAAGTTATGTCACGTTGTAGTCTGGTTTAGCGACACTCTCCTCGAGATATTCAGTTTTTTCCTCTTTTGCGGTTATTAACTATAGTAATTTCTTTCATTTGGACTGATTTGGATAGTCGTAGTATTGCGAAGGCAAGCAATGACGTTTAATTATAAACTGTGTACTTCAGTTGCACAATATATTTGCATAACTATATCTGACCAACAAGAAATGGAGTGTTTTTTGGTGTTGCCGAAACCATTGATTCGCTTGTGTGTAGTTGTGTAGGTATTGTTCAGTGTTTATTAATTCTTTCTTATTACGTCGTTTGGTGATTGCACCCGTCGTTAACACCAAGAAACTACCGAGAAGTGCATTATTTAGCAAAATGCGGGGACGTTTTTGAAGAATTTCAAAACACTCACAGCACCTGTTTCATCACTATTTAAAAATTGGAGCACGAAGCACGATAATTTTTGACTAATGATAAAACACTAGCTGCTGTTCATGTTTTAAAAACATTGAATAATCGACCTACCTTCTGATCTTTCCCAGATTCATCATCTGAAGTCATGCACACCGAGCTGATTGCACGCGATCGCTTTCTTCCCGGAGGAGAAGGATTCAATCCTGCCTCTCCATTGACAAAAACTAAAGGAATGTCACCCTCGTCAGCTATCTGCCGGTCGGAATCTTGCAGAGATTCGCCATTGGTGTCGGTGTTCTTGGAAGCTTTCTTTCTTTTCTTGTCGCCCATATTGTAACCAAATCAGGCTTAATCTACCGCATGAATTTCGTAACCTGAAATGAGAGAACAAAAATCGTTTCTATGACTAGGAAATTGACTTTCTGAGATACAGTTGAGCAGTACTCAATGGCAAAGAAAAAAGTTGAGACTTAACTCGCTGAAAGTATTTTGAACTACTGATAAACACCTTGAAATAAGTTACCGTAAAATTCCAAAAATAAGCCCCTCCATGTATAAGCCCCTCCAAATATAAGCCCCCCAAGCTCGTAACGCAAAAAACCCTCCGCTAAATCGCCTCTCCAAATATAAGCCCCCTGGGGGCTTGTACTTGGAAATTGCCTTCAAATACAAAGTGAAACAATGCAAAACCAGAAAATTCCTTCCAACTATAAGGCTATCCCAATCGATTTTAAAACGCAAATTTCCCTCCGTAGATAAGCCCCTCCAAAAATAAGCCCCTCAAAAAGGGCCTTTGAAAAATATAAGCCCAGGGGCTTATTTTCGGAATTTTACGGTAACATGAATTTTTGAAGCCGGAAGGATATGACCAAATTCCAGCGCCTTTACGAGGCTTCTAAATTGGGAACGTTTTTCATTCTAGTTATTCCTACTGAAACTCCAAAAAGCTCCCAAACGGTTCCATGTATTTTTCTTATCAAACTTACAAAGCAAATAGTCATTCTGTTCTTAAACTACTACTAACTTTAGATCATGAAACTTTTGTTTAAGCCCTACACCTGTGACCTCATCTTATAATGCATACATCAGTTAAATGAATGAACACAAATCATATGGACGAAAGCCTTGGGACAAATTTGCATTTGTTTGCATTTTTACTCACTCAAAACTACAATTGCGTTCAAATCGTGAAACTTAACATGCCTGGTTCCTTCGTATCCTTCGCATCCCCCGCCTCATATATAACGTTGGACGTCTTACAACTATTTTTTCACAGTTTCAACATTAAGATAGCACTGCCGTCTTTTAAAGTATTAGTGTTATCCTGAAATTACGCTAATTAGAGGTCTTGCATCACTGTACTGTTCTGTGGACTTAATTCCTCAATCAGTTTTAGCTGGCCTCGAGGCAAAGCTGATCAACTGATAGGCACTGACGCCTATAGAGCAATAGATAAATGTTTAACACCTGTTGATTGTAGTGAAATAACCATGAAAAGAGTGAAATCTTTTTACTCCTGTGACACAAACTTAACAGATGAAATAAACTCTGGAGCCCCCATTACAATTCTTGAAATGATGCAGCTAAAATCGTGTCATCAAAATTTTCGCTTAGAATCAAGATTTTAAACGAAAACTTGGTGAAGCGAATTAAATTTCATTGTCTTGAATCCTCCCATTTTTTCAGCAAATCGAAGGATATGAGCGAGAAGTATTTTAAGGTTTTTTCAAAGTCCTACAAACAGAAAAGTAAGCTTGCGAAAACAGCCATTTCTTCTCGCTCTTCACCCATCGCAGCTAGGTTGAGCGAGGAGAAACGGCTGTTTTCGCAGGCTAAAGCTAAGTCAGTTTCGTTGAATTTTCGATAGTTTGCAAAATTCCTCCAGTATATACCTTAATCGAAATTTCTTGGCATTTCAATGCCATGAAAACTGTTTTGTTTTGTTTTGTTTTTTTAGTTTCAGGAAATAGCTGAATAATACTATCTTGTACTGCGACGACTTCTTCTGAACTGAAAATAACTGCAATGATAATTTTCTAAACTTGCTTGGCATTCATTTTTCGTCGATTGAACTGGGAATACCTCGTCTAAAGATCAATGATCAATGGCGACATGTTATTAGAGTACCCTCAACTATTAGGATATGTCTTAAAGCCGAGAGTGCGTGCCTCTTACAACATTGGTGTGGTTTTCAGTTTTGTCCTCATGTGACGTACGTAACCAACCTTCGTTAGGGTACTTGTAAAACGCCCAGGTTTGTACGTGCATTCGCACAATTTATAGAAAACAGACTCGAGTGGATATATCCTCCGAATATGATCGAAGTAATGAAAAACGTTTTACGACTAAATAAGTATTTTTTTGTATATTAGTTTCAATAGAATTTTAGCTTAAATACTTATACGCCTCACAAGACGTTGGGTGATATGGTTGATCATTACCGTCATAAAACGACAAATATAAGGAATGGTGATGATTCAAGTGCCGGAGACGATTACTGACGTGTTAGGAAGTTGATATATAATGACTCAATAAACAAAATACGAAAATCATTTAATAGTACAAAAGTATAAAGATTCTGAACTTTTTCTTGGAAATGATGCTTATATGTGCCACCGGAGAAGAATCCCCTAAAGGGTTTTCATTGCAGAAACAGTGCCATAAACACTACCATGATAACAAGCTTCGTTTCACATCAATGCGGTCTTCATTTAAGGTTTTCGTGAACAGAATCACGAATGTTAAACAGAAAAACAACCTCCCGTAGCTATAACCTTAAAAAAATTGTAACCAATGGATATGGATAAAGGCACTGCTATGTAGATAGCTTGCATACACACAGCATGTATCTGATTATGATATGATTTCACACACAGACTCAAAACTGCTGAAAGTTTAAAAGCTTTCACAACCGTGAAACAGCCTCAAGGAAAGTCAGACAGTGACTAATTTAGCTGAACTGATTTTGAAATGCCCGGAGCAATTTCCTCAAATAAAAAAATACGTTAATTTTTTTTTTTCTCCGCTGTGTTCGCGCCGACCAAAAAAACAAGCAAAGAGGGAGAGAGAAGGATTTTACGCAGTTCACAATTTTCCATCGGATTTTTTTGTCCGGCTAATGTTCAATCACGGTCAGATCTCATGCTCTTTAGTTAAAAAAAAAGGATAATCAATTCCTTAATTCACCCCAAGACCTAACAAAATTTTGCCTGTACATTAAATCGGGCTTAAAGTTTGCAATTTCTTGAATTATAAAATGATCCCATGCGACTATATTTCTGGTTTAGTCTCTTGATAAAGAGACCGTAAAGTACTAAAAGATCTTGAAGGTGCTAAGGCGAAAGGAGCGAATATAGTTATCACCTGTGGTCATGGAATACGTAATGAAAGGCTGTTTTAGGGATAAAAATGTTTCGGAACTTACCTTGGCCGAACGCTCGTTTTACTCTCTCGATTTGTTTTTCATGCGCTTAGCAAGACATCTAGCAAGACATGACCTAGGAAATAACATGCGGATGTTTGTTATGCCAAATCGACAGAGTCAACCGAGCTGAACTAAATGATGTTTTGTTTCGTAAACTCAATGATTGACCCTGAGTCACGATTCACACTGATTGCGATTCACTTGTTCTATCATTTTTCTGCGTATTTGTTATCTTTCGTTCTGAACTTTAGTCCGCCGAGGTGGTTGCCATCTAGCCTGCATAGCAGGCGCTTGGAAGTAGTGGGCGAAAGAGAGAACGGGCGCGCTCGAGGGAGACACGCGCGCCCTTTTTTTCTTTTGCCCAATACTTCCAAGCACATGCTACGCAGGCTAGTTGCCCTCAAGACGGCAGTGAAAATACTTCATACACTTTGTTCAAAGAACGGCTGCACTTGTCTCGTTCAAGCGCGCACCTAACAAAACTTTGTCTTAAATTTATACGTTTGGCTCAGGTCGTGTTATCAATTGCTTAATGAATTATTTAACAGTCGTAAGCGACAGTCTATTTCCACTTTAACCCCGTGAAAGAGAAATGATGATTATTAAGGGATCGTAAAGGTGCCGTTTCGATCAAAGAGTGATTTTACTTGAACCGTAAAACAGATAACAACAACTAGTGCAAAACATAGCTAGCCACAGCGTACAAATAAACAAAAGAAGACAATAGAATTAGTGCATAATAGTGCGTAGCATTCTACTACCTATTTCACGGTTAAGTAAAATCATCCTAATAATAGTAACCATCAAGGGCGATGATATATTTTTGCATCTCTGGGTGTATAAAGTCAGGGGCACCCAACGACAATATATATAGTTCAGAACTACTTAAACATAGCATTGTTAAACGTGTTTTAGTATTTAAACGGTGGATATGGGCATATTTTTATGCCCTATAAACTTTTCATCTGTTCGGATTTCCTAGCTGAAAGTCTAGTGATTCGAAAATTACAGGAATCAAAACTTACCTGTTCGAAAATTTCAGCCAGAAAAAAGGCTCCCGAAAATTCTAGGTGACCTTTTTAGGGTAAAAATCCGTTGAAAATGGGCAATTTTACCATTTTTTAGATGTTCGAAAATCGTAGGAGAGGCAGGCAAGCAAGAAATTTTACAACAAATGTTCCGAAAATTCTAGATCTCAAATCGTCTTCCGAACAGATATTTACCCGAAAATTGTCGTTGGGTGCCCCTGTAAAGTGTAAAGTATAAAGGGGTGTTGTTCGGCATCAAAAAGTTTGGGACTGCCTTGGCATTCAGATGGTGATGATAGTAAAACATCTTTGTCATGTCAGTTGCCTTTCTTTTACTTTCTTTTATTGTTTTCTAAAAAGTATTAATAGCATTTTGTTCTTTAAATATTTTTTAGAGCGGTAAAAGTGATGAGCAAAATAACAAGCCATGGCGAGATGTTTTTTTTTTTCTGCCGACAGAATCAGCCAGGCAGAAACTGAACGACAATATTCATTTGTTATGTTAATTATTTACGTATATATTTTAGCTCTTCTTGTGGTCACGTGGGTGAAGAGACTCTCTCTTCCGCAGAGGCCCCTTTTATTGGGATACCCCGCGAAAGCCTCTGCGGAGGAGGAGGAGGGTGAAAAGGTATGCACTTTTTACAGACTTCCTAGAGGGTCTGGATGGGTGGGGGGGGGGGGGGGGGGGGGGGTACAAAGTGCCGGTGGTCGGTTGTCTTTTTCCGTTTGTGGTTTAATGGCATTTAAAAATTTACTTAATATTAGAATTTTTTTGGGGTAAAAAGAGAGGCACTGTGTGTTGGAGCCTCCTACTGTCGCAGAATGGTTTTTTTTTGTGGTTGAGGTGGTAGAAGGGTGGGGGGGGGTGGGGTGGG